TCAAGGAGGAGAAGCAGTGGAGGCAGAAAGAAGCTAACTAGGGCATCTTAGCCATATCCAGGCAAGAGAAAGAATATGGCTTGCGGAGATGGCATCTGGATGATGCTCTTTGCAGGGTCACCTCTTCACAACACTCAGTATTTGGTAAAGACAGGCCAGTCCTACACTGTGGAGTCCACAGGGCTCGGGACTTGCAAGGGCCCTCCATGTTGGGGTCTCCTTATTCTCTTTGGATTTAGAGATCACCGTGGTTGGAGCTGAGGATGTGTATGACAGGGAGCTCCTTGAGAAGAGTAGGAGAGTTCCCTTGAGACCTTTCTAGATTCCTCCCTGGTGGTCCTAGCAGAGAAAAAGACAACAGGAGGGCTCATGGTTTTCCTCAGGTGGTCAGTAACGCAGTACCAGAGACCAGTAGATTAAAAGGCAGAAGTTAATTTTCTCTCAGTGCTGGAGGCTGAAGTTTAAGATGAAGTTGTTCAGCAGGCCTCCTCCTCAAGGGCTTCCTCCTCAGCATGGACACCATATCTCCCCACCCGTCCTTCTATGCATACGCCTGGTAGTTGCTTTCCTCAGATGATCTGGCCAATCATATCATATTAGGGCCTGCTGTAATGACCTCATATTAAATTAATTGCCTCTTTAATTTACTTTACTTATCTCTAAGTAAATCACATTCTGAGGTGCTAGGGCTAGGACTTCAGGATGTGTGTGGAGCAGGCACAGTTTACTTCATGGCAAAAGGGAATTGACTTTTAAACAAATTCCAGTTCAATTTTATTAACCTTTACTACCCTTTTTGGAGTTTCCATCCTAAAAAGATCTTTGTTGTTGTTGTTGTTTTATGAGTATTTGACTGTATATGGCAGTATGTGCACGTGAGTGCAGTTTCCTGAAGAAGCCAGAAGATGGCGTTGTAGTTGCAGGCGGTTGTGAGAGGCCTGCTGTGGGTGTTGAGGATCAAATTTAGGTCCTCTCCAAGAGCAGAGCAGGCTCGTTGCTTCTGGGCCATCTGTTCTGCCCTGGGGCTCCTATTCTTTCTTTCAATGGATTCAAACCTATGAGACTTGCATTTTGAGTGAGGACATAGGTTGAACATTAGGAAGTGTTAAATGAACTTAATGACAGCCAAAACATTGACATGCTTGTGGAATTTAAAATTCCCTCACTCTGCCTGTGTGTCCTGTATCCCTCCAGAACATATGTTACTGATGCCCCGAGACTGGGGGACAGAGGACCAAGTGCCTTCTAGTTCTCAGGGTTCCTGTCTGGGTCGCTTGCAGTAGGATCTGTTTTAGTTCCTCTTCTCATTTCTGTGTCTAAAGACCCAACAAAAGCAGCTCAAGTCAGGGAAGGCAGATTTTGACTCAGAGTCCATTAGGGCAGGTGATGTACATAGTGACAGGAAAATGAAGGAGGCAGGTGGTCACAGGGAGAGAGAGAGAGGGAGAGAGAGAGAGAGAGAGAGAGAGAGAGAGAGAGAGAGAGAGAGAGAGAGAGAGAAATGCTAGTGTGCTATTTGCTTTATCCTTCTCATCCAGCAGTTGGGGACTCCATCCTATGGAATGCTACCACTCAAATTTATGGTGGGTCCTCCCACCTTAAGAAGCCTAATGTAGACAATCTTTCACAGGCATGGTTTGTTTCCATGATGGTCCGAAGTCTCTTTAAGTGAACTATTAGGATTAACTACCATGGGCTGGGAGATAGCACACTTGGTAGATTGCCTGGCGTATGAACATGAGGTCCTGGGTTCAGATCTCCAGAAAGCCAGCTAAAAAGCCAGTTGTGTAACGCTGGAGGAAGGAGCAAAGGCAGAGGCAGGTCCCTAAAGCTCATTGGCCAGCCCCCATAGACCATCAGTGTGCCCTGGCCTCAGTGAGAGACCCTGCGCTGCCTCAGAAAATAAGAGAAGAGTGATGGAGAAGGGTAGCTGCCGCCCCTTTGGGATCAGCTTCTACAGCCCCTAGAAATGTATGTTTCTTGTTTTAAAGGTGATGCGTTATTTACCTGCATGTTATAGTATCCATTTTGTCTTTATATAAAATAAAAACTTTGGCTCAATAAAAAAAAATCCGCCTTTTTTTTTAATTTTTGAATTTGACACAACTCTACTTGCTATTTAGCTGAGACTGGGATTGAACTTCTAATTCCCCTGCCTCTGCCTCTTGAGTTCTGGAATTGCTGGGATGAGTCACCCTGCCCAGGCAGGAGGAACCAAGGACTTGATTCTCAGTAACTTTTCTTATCTAATGGATGTGTTATCAGCTAGCCGACTGCAAAGCCCAGAATGAACCTCGGCTCGGCCACCTGCTGCCTGACGTGGTCCAGAGCAGGTCCTCTAAGATGAGACATTTTGCTGAACAAAGTAGCCTGAGTCCTCAATGGCAATGGTTTGCAATTCTGTGTCCAGAGTGCAAAAATGGTTATTTTGCACTGACTTCCTGCGGACATCGTTCGAAGCCTCCTTGTGGACCACTTGTGTGCATTCAGGTGTGCGGTGGTACCCCACTTCCCACCATCTGCTCCTCTTTCCACGTTGAAGTGAAAGCCCTACTGTAGTGGAGTTCCTTTCTGTTACTCAGTTTTCTTACTGAAGAGCTGTGCCCATCTAAGGACTTGTGTCTCCCACGGAAGCTGCTTACCTTCTTTGTTTGCCTTAGAAATGACGGCTTTTGGGTGGGCAGCAGGGCAGAGGAAGACGTGCTTTCTCTTTGACTTCCGGAGGCTGTTCTGTCTGCTGGGTGGGAACCAATGGTTCATGGTTCTGTGGCTTCTGACTTCTGGGCATCAGGCATTTTGAGGGAAGCGGTCAGCAATGACGCAACAAGTCGTAGGCAATGTGATATTAGAGTCGTGGTGTGTACTGACTATAGATTTGGGGATGGTTTAATTTCACTTCTACTTTAAATATGAAGACCATTAATTAAGACTGTGTGGCAGGATTTACCAAGCCCTTCGGGGAGAGAAGCAGTTTAATGATTTCTGTTTTCTTGCCACTGCTGCTGTTTCTTGGGGTAGGATTTGTATAATTAATTGGCTCCTGGTGAAATATAGCTCTTCTGCCTCTTCCATGCGCCCCATTCTCAGGGTAAAGTTAGTATTTTAAAGAATTAAGATTTTTCACGTTGTAAATGTTCAGTCATTACCCGGTGAGTTAATTATGTAAAAAATGGCTTCCAGGATAAATAAAACACGGCATAGAGCTGATGAACTATTATTTATCTATGAGAGAGTGGTATTCAGACACGTGCCGTAACATGGAGGAATCTTGACCATGCTGTGGAAGTGGAGAAGTCCAGGCATAAAAGCGTGGTTCCATGTTATAACATAACCCAAACTTGTAGAGATGGTGTAGAGACTAGAACTCACCAGGGCTTGGGAGTTCTTGGAAACGGGGTTTAATGCTCAGTGGCTTCAGGGTTCCTGTTTGGGGGAGATGGAAAGTTCTGGAAGGTAACAGTAGTGCTCAATGTTCAATGGCATCAAGTTAGAGGCCTTAAAATGGCTGATGGGTATACACGCACTTGGAAGCTTTAAAAACCCGATTCTGATGCAGGAAGAGTAAAGAAAACATGTACAAGTTGCAAAAGCACAAAAACTATTTTTTTTATTACTTACGTGTTTATTACCCAAGCTTCTGGACCTGCTTTGTGGGCAGTTTTTCTGTGGATTTTCCTGTTGTGACAAAGAGGGGCATTTCTTGCCTCACTTTGGCCAGATTGACAGCCTCGGACAGTTGTGGTACAATTCCTTCTCAACTTGGGAGAAATCATACTGTTTATGGAAACTATTACTGAAATCTGGAATCCCTTAATCCTTCTAGAAATTTTATGCCTGGAACAAGCCAGATGGTCAGGTTGCTGCATGCTTGGTGCTTGGGTGGGATTTGTTTTTCTGTGTGTACCCCTTGCTGAACTGTATTAGTGATTTGTGCTTGCCATTGTCTCTCCCGTGAGGCATGTGGTATAGAAAGTCAACTCATTTTTTTTTAAAAAAAAGATGTTTTATCAGTCAGGGTTCTTCAGAGAATCTTGTTTGTAAGTACATAAAAGAGAGAGATTTATTTCAAAGAATTTATGATGATAGAACCTGGCAAATGTGAAGTTAGAGAGTAGGCCAATGGGCCAGAGAGCCGGGGAAAAGCTGTTGTTGACATGTTGAGTTTCATAGTAATTTAGAGGCAGAATTCCTTCCTGGGGGAACTAAGTCTTGTATCTTAGAATCTCCTTGACTGAATAGGCCAGTCATGGTGAAAGGTGATCCACTAATTCAAATGTTAACACATCCTTAAAAAAAAAATCTTCTCTGTAGCATCTCTACTGGTGTTTAACAATGGACACTGATATCCTCAGCCAAACTGACTACAAACTAACTGTCATAGATAGGGATATGTCAATAACAGAATTATCTGTCAATCAGGGGTATGTGCTGTCTTTTATATTTGCTTCTTTGAGTGCCCCTAGAGGAAGATTCCAGTTCCTTCCCACCTCCTCACCTAGGTTCAAGTCTCATGTTGTCATTTCATCAGCTGGGTAGGGCTGTCTTCCAAACCAAGGTGGGTTCGGCGGCATAGAGTCTTCATTGTGGACGTGTTGGAGGTGTGAATGTGTGAACGTTACAGCCTGCCAAGCAGGCTGGTGTGAGTCCATGCCACGGTGAGTTCTGCCAGCCAGCCCTTTGGGAATCAGCCGCTGCGTTGGAGGGGTGTGATGGGTGCATGGTTTCACCGTGACCGCATCCCCAATTAGTCCGGGCCCAGGTGCGTGTTAGTTAACGTTAGCTCACTCTGTTACACCAGCGACCCCACCTTGACCCGATTCCGGGGACCTTCATGCGTCTGACACTGTTCGATTCATTGTGAGGTGCTGCTCTCTCCCAAAAGGTCTTTAAACCTCTGGAGACCCGCTTGCATTTTTGTTTGTTTGTTAGAAAACATTCCAGTGGGTCAAGAAAGTAAGCGAGCGGTGGCAGCTCTGACTTTGTCCTTCTCTTTCTTGCAGTTTGGCTCTTCCTTGGATGCAGACCTATTCACTGCAGAGTAGAGCCCGGCTACCAGGTTGTCTTTCTTAAGGTAAGAATTTAGCTGTCACAGACACCCCGGGGCTTCAGTCACAAGCTCCCGCTTAGCCTATTGGGCATCTGCACAGACTCTGGCATGTCTTGGAACTCTGTTTCCTTCAGTTTGCCAGTTTCCTATCGCAGGCTAGCTTGCTTCTGTTTCTGTTCTGTTGTCCTGGGACTTGGAATGCTAGTTTGGGCTTGTTATATTTTTTGTTTAGCGCAGGAGGGAGTATGCAACCTCAGGGACTGCTTGGTGGATTAAGGACTTGTCTGGCATTGCAAAAATCACTTATTTGGTGAGTTCAAAGAGAACTCACCTAAAGCGACGTTCGTAGATCACGAGGTTCTACGTGGGGCAAGGCGTGGTGTTTGTATGTAGTCATATCAAGGGAAATACACGGCTGGAAACACTCAGTGTGTGTGGCTACTCATCCTTGAATGCTTGGAGCTCTCAGATGTTTAAATGTTAAGGATTAGGAAACGCATCCAGACCCCAAACAGGATGAGAGTGTTGTTCCAACGAAGAGGCGGTGGGCATAAATGCGAGCGTATTTCAAGCTCTATGTTTACTGACGCTGTTGTTGGGCTTTACGTACTTTTGGCTTTTAATGGGGTGCTTAACACAGAGCCTGGTTAGATTGCTAGCCCCGACTTCCATCTTTCCCTGGTGAAGAGATCAAAGCAGAGGGCTGGCTTACTGAGGTCAGGCTGCACATACCACGCCATGCCATTTTGTGGCTGTGAGGCATAAGCCTGTGTTGTTTAGTTATCACTCCCTCGCTGTCAGCAATGCCAGCCCCTAGCCCCGAGGTCCCTGCCTTACAAACAGACCTCCCACCTTGTGTTTTTTGATGGGTGGAAAGGAGGAAGGCGAGCACCCAGAGGAAGTTGTCTGAGATCAGGAAGCGATTGGGCCTTGGCCATGTTTACATTCCTTTTCTTGTCCAGGGAGCAGATTGAATTATTAGCGCCAGCGTTTGTTAATGATAATTATACGTTTCAAGTACAAAGCGGGATTCTGTAAACTATCTGGTAGGAATGCCTTTCTCTTTGCCGTTCTGAATCAATGACATTGTACGGCTCTAATTAGGATCAGGCAGACAAGCAAGAATCTGTATGTTATCATCAGTTTTCCCCAGGGTAAGAGAGAGGGTGGCATGTGAACTGCGACTTCAATTTAATAGCCTGTTACTAGCTGTCCTGCAATTGTGAAGACCAGAGAGCTGAAGGTTCAGCTAGGACATGTGAGGGTGGAGGGTCATCTTACAAGGCAAAGACTTTTTTTTTTTTTTTTTTTTTTTTTTTTTAGACATAATTCTGGGATCACAGTTAACCACGGTGGTAGAAATGAGCACAAGGTGATAAGCAAACCTTTAGCCCTAATATTAACCATCATCACCATCACCCCAGCTAACATTATTGGTTCCTACTTCCTTAGGTACCAGACCAAGGTTTTCTATGTGTGATCTCTTATAATCATCATGGCATGCCTGGCAGGAAGATTCTACTAAAATCCACATTTCATAGATGAGAAAATTGAGTTGCTCAAAGTTAGCCAAGCCACAAAGTGTCAGAGTGGGAAGCAGCAGTCAGAACACCCCTGAATAGGGCCAGCCTAGTATAGAGATTTCTGGATGCTCACTGGATTCTACTCCTACCTCCTGCCTTGCCACGTGTCCCATGCATAGCACTTACCATTGGTACTTTATCTCTCCCACACTGGGGAATTTTAATTATGTACATATAAGAAAATTGACCAGCAGAGAAGAGAAGCTACCCGGGACTGCTTGCTTTCCTGGTACCACATATCTGGACCGTAGCAGTTGCATGGCTATTTATGACCTGCTCCCTATGTGTGCGCACTTTGCATTGGCTTGCACATATACTGAACACGTCTGCCCACTAAGACTATGGAATAAAACAACTTCAGTTTAATCTAAATATAGGCCTGCCTGGTTCTACATTCTGTCATGGCTTACAAGGAACAAAACACGATTTCTAGAATGTCTTTCTTCAGTGATCTTCCTTGGAAAGTCTGTCTACTTTGCCCCATGTCTGTTCATTAACTGTCCTTAATAACTTTTCTCAAGTCAATGTGCTGACTTTAAAGTCCTGGCCCTAGGCAGGTGGAATGAGAGCTTGGGAGCTCCATGTGGTGACTGGTAGACTTGTTGGTAGACAGGTGTCCCGGTTTCATGCGTGTGGACTTGTGCTGGGAATACCACTGGTGATAGGGCTTCATTGTGCAGGGCTATTGTCAGTTATCTGTGGCTTAATAAGCCATCCTGTACTTGAGGCTTAAAACAGCAATTGTTTTATTTGCTTGTGGTTCTGTGGGTTTGCAAACGGGGCTAGGCTCAGCTAGGTGGTCCTTCCGCCAGTGTCAGGTGGGTCACCCTTACCTTTGCATTGAGCTGGTACCCAGAAGATGAGGCTTAGGATAGACCTTTGTAAACCCCTTCTACTCACGACTACTTTTTCCTGAGAAATTTTTACATGACTCCAGTCATGTAAGAATATGAATTAAATATACAAATCAAAGCTACTGGCAAGAAATTACAAAGAAATTCATTTCAAAACGATTCTTTGGAATACATGCAGTTTTCCATTTGTTAAAAATGAAAGTGTATTTGTGGACTAGAAAATTTTATTTGTCGACCACCATAAAATCCAAAGCCACGCTAATTTGATATTTGCATGCTAAGGAATGAGAGTAGGAAAATGTGAAGTCTTTGTTTTCTGTAATGAAGTTGTGTTTCTTTGTTGGTATGTTTTGAGTCAGGGTCTCCTGTAGCTCAGGCAGGCCTCCAACATGTTCTGTCGTTGAGGATAACCTCACGCTGCTATCCTGCTTCCACTTCCCAAGTGATGTGATTGCAGGCATGTTCTACCATGCCCCACTTAAACCATTATGTTTCAGTAGGAGTAGAAAACGTTTTATGTACACTAAAAGCACTGCCATTCCATAGCATGCAATAGTCACAGCAGAGTCAACGCATTGCAGTATTCTTTGGTGTCTTGTGGCATGACAGCACGCTCGGTGCAAACGGCACCTGCTGTGTGTGCAGAGCCAAAACTGCGGTGAAATTGAGGGACATAGCGTGAGCGAGCACCGCCACCGTGGCTTCACTGTGTGTGTGTGAATTTTCATTCATTTTTGGTCCTGGCATGTTCCAAAACCTTTTACCATTGCTACGTTGTTCGGAATCTCACATCCAGTTATGTGGCCCCTTGTCCCACAGTTTAAAGCTTGATCTAGGGGACTTAGCTAGAATGACATCAGCAGGCTCTCTAGGTTCTGCCACACGAGAAACCTGGCCAGAGAACAAAAGCAGGCGGTGCACTCTTGACACTTAGCCTCAAAAACTACTCGGCCTCACTTCTGCCTCATTTTATTGATCAGAGAGTATTTGGGGTGGTCCCGGTTCAAGGAAAGGAGGTGGGATAGAATAAACCCTATCTGTTCATGATGCTAGCTACAAATTATTAAAAGCCATTTAAAATGTACAGAGATTCTTAGGTTTGATCATAAGAACAACCTGAAATTGGCTTAAAATCATTTATCTTTGTTTATGTTTTTCAAGACAGTTTTTCTGTATAGCAGTTCTGGCTGTTCTGGATTTTTTTGTTGTAGTTCAGGCTAGCCTCGAACTCACAAAGATTCACCTGCCATTACCTCCCGAGTGCTGGTCTTAAAGGCAAGCGCAACCACTGTGCATGTGATAATGAAGATGCTGACCACTGTCATCAGCACCAGTAACGTCTTCCTGAGGTGTAGTAAAGCTCTCTTGGATCATAATTTTGTTTGGTTTTGTTTTTCCCAGAGAGTGAATTGGTGATTTGTTGGGATTGCTAAGCATTTCACACTTTTATGGTATCAAATAGGACAAGGCACATGGTAAGAGAAGAGATCATAAAGGTGTTTATGTCCCATAGAGCAGAAAGCGATTCCTTTGGACCCAGTGATGTCTCCCAGAATATGGGTACTCAGCGTGGGTTGTTCTTGTCTTGCTAGGGAAGTGAGAAACAAGATGTGTTAAGGACAGTCCCCACAGGCTTTCCAGTAGTCTCTTAATTTTGGTTTATGCTCCTTGACTTAGCCCAAAAGAGAATGTTGCGTTTCTTTAGCCTTTTGTTTAAGGGCTATCCTGGGGAAAGACAAGGATGCCGATAGCCCCTTTTAGCACACTCTCTGTGGAAGTTAACTCTCCAGGTGGTTTAATGGAGGAAAATAGCGTAGCCACCATTTTTGGCAGCCTAAAAGTGATGGTTGTACATATCCTAGCAACTGACCCCCAGTCGCAACCTCACATTGAGGAGTGTAGAATATTCTTGGTGGCCAGGATCAGACTTATGGCTCAGAGTGGTCATTTCTCACTTTTCCTAAGTTTGGGGAGAGATCGCCAATCTACCGCCCAATGAAAGTCACTCTTGCAGTCCAGCTTCTGTCTCCCTCCCTCAGATCCCTCTGTGGTGCTTGTTACCCTAGTCATGCTGACTTGGGCTAGCATCAGGGACTGGCGCTTGTGACTGAAAGGTACTTGCTAATGTCAGAACTTGCGTGTTTCTACACATAGCCCTTCAAGCTAGAAAATGCTGGAAGACAGGCAAATGGACATGCACAGCCCCACACGGAAAAGACAACACAGGCAAGATCTAGGGAGGGCCAGGCTGCTTATGGCTCATCCCTTTCACTACCTCGCCCTTCCACCAGGATCAGCTCCAGAAGACAGACAGAACTCTTAATCATTGTGTATGAAATCCTAGATATTTTCCTCACGCCAGTGGACACTCTGCCACCCTCACCTTTTCCTTCAGTTAATCTTCAGAGTAGATAATCCTTTCCTGTATTAAGGACTCCTTCCTCATGGATGTTTGCTTCTTTTCTCCTCCCCTTTCCAAACCAACTGGAAAAATGTGTCCCCAGCGTAGACACTGGAAGCATCCAGGGCAGGTTATCACTACAGGACTTAAGCGCCACTTCCAAACTGTGTTTTAAGACTGTCATTG